GCATATTATTCAGTAAACAGAGCACCAGAGCCCTTTTTACTCAGTTTGAAAAACAGAAGAAGGCTGTGTTTTCTTAAATGAAACAGAAAATTTTCTTCCCAGCAGCCAGTAAGAAACCAAAAACTCTTGCCTCAATGTGCCAGAGCAGCATTATCAATAAGCAACGAGGGAGAAAGCAGTCTAATCTGCAAAATACTCTTTCAGTGTGGATGAGTGATGTGGCATGAGGGTAGCTTGATTATTTTTCTACTTTATTTATGAGTTGGGTTTACCCCACAGGGATGAAGGTAGCAGAAAACCTATTTGATTTATAAACTAAGAAAAGACAACAGAAGAGCCAAGGGGAAATAAATCAGGCTCACTTGAGGTTCTCTGCTTTCCTGGGGACTTTTCTTTTGCCAGAACTACATTTTAGAAAACACCCCTCAAAAAAACCCTGTTACTCTTGGTACTCTTGGCCTATCTGGCCATGGATCTGGGTCAAGCATAAACCCAGCTGATTTTACCAGTTTGGTAACTAATGATGATTAGGCCAGAATCTCCCCTGGGGCAGCCTAGAGAAGCTAGCCCAGAGGAAAAGTGATGCAGACAGCCCTTGGCACTGTGCCTACGATGACTCACAGATGTGGCGCAAATGACTAAGGAGGAAGCATGCATGGACCTGTCCAAGCAAGTCCAGAGTAGGCCATGAAGATGCTCAGAGGGCTGCAGCACCTCTGCTATGGAGACAGGCTGAGAGAGTTGAGGTTTTTCAGCCTGGAGAAGAGAAGGCTTCAGGGAGACCTTAGAGCTGCTTCCAGTGCCTAAATGGGACAAGAAATCTGGAGAGGGACTTTTTAACAATGGCCTGTAGTGACAGAAGAAGGGGCAGTGGCTTTAAACTGACAGATGACAGATACAGATTAGACATTTAGAAGAAATTCTTTACTATGAGGGTGGTTCGGCACTGGAAAAGGCAGCCCAGAGAAGTTGTGAATGCCCCATCCCACAAAGTGTTCAAGGGCAGATCTCCTAAGAAGAACTCCCCAAAAGGATGTCCCTCTGTACCAACTCCCCAACTTGCACAGGATGGGATTTGCCCTTTCCTCATCTAACCTTGTGCTGAACTTACTTTTCCACTCCTGCCTTCACCGACTGTATCTCGCCCTCAAAACACACTTCTACAGATGCCAAACATTCCCCTCTGAGTGAAGGGTGACTTGCAAGATGCCTGTTGCCCTGATCTCAGCCATCTTGATTTTGGATACAGCTGCATCTAAACCCTTTGACACCAATCCCCTGTTCCTTAGCATCTGTGCTGTGTTTTCAGGACTGGCTTGTTGGGAAATGCCAGCTCATGTGCTCTCCAAGTCAGGTAACTGGTAAAGCTGCCATGTCCTGTTTTGCTGCTTCAGCAGTGTTGTCTTTCTGCAGTGTCCTTAGAAGGACTGCAGCCCATGTCCTCTTGTTCTCATGGAAATAACATCTGCATCTCAAGCAGGTAGTAAACATGATGCTTTTTGTTTTAACAATCCTTTTTTTTCTTATACACTGAAGATATTGATACTTAACCTCCTTTGCCTGTTGCCTTTGGAAACAATAAGATATCAAGAAGACAAAAGAAAAAGCCTGTAAGACCCTGCTCCTGCTGATAACCACTCAAGTGAACGTATCACTTCACATTTATGACAATCCAGCTGGATGGAGTCGTGTCCATGATTGATAGCTACATTTAGCAACTTTGTGGGTTTGATCAGCTGAGACAGGATCCAAGGGGATTAAATGCTGGATGACATCTCAATGGAGTCCATAGCACGGGGAACACATTTGTATGTTGGGATAATGGATGAATGTGCTGCTCCAATACATAAATATTTATACTTCACAGCTCTGCTGAAAACAGACAGGAAACCTTTTTTTCAAACCAAACTGAAGGGAATAGTACCCATATGCTGAATATGCAGACTCAGTCCCCGGATGTCTGACTTTTGCTGATGAGCAGAATATAGCTTTTTATAGCATGAAATGGCAAAACCTTCAGCCAGACATCCCCCTACCAGTGATCTTGACAATGAGGTGCCTAATATCCCCAAAAGCTGATGCCAGTGCTCCACAAACATCTGCTGACCAAGTTCAACTCCTTAAAAGACCTCTGGAGTTGATGAAGACACCTTTGATGAGGGATGGAGCCAATATGGAGTGAACAACAGCAGCATTTATGTTCTGCAGTGGGAATGAGAGACCTGAGACCACAACAGACTTATATTCAGGCAGTGTGTCTTTAACAGGAATGTAAAATCTGAAAGACCTATCTAGTTAGATACATATAAGGCCTTCTGGTAGACACTGGACACCTTCAGTTCTGGGGTTCCTACATGTCAGTCTCGATAGTCCTATATTCAGACATTTGAGAATGTCTGACTTCAAAGTCTGGATCTCCTCCATAGGTCTGATGTCCCAGTCTGCTTGCACATTGGCACCTCTTGCATAAGCAACTTGCGTCCCATTCATTATCATGCTTCATTATCATTTCCCCACAGCAAAGCTCCCAAATGTGCTCTAGAGCAACTCTGTATATAATACAAAGGATGTCCAGATTTTCTGCCAAGGAAATCTGGCTGCTGAAGCGGTTGAGTTCATCTGTCAGCATGGGGAGGAGGAAACAACCTTGAGGCAAAGAAAAGTCTACATTTTCCACAAGGATCCATCTGGCTAAGTTAAGATGTCCCTCAATTATTCTTTTTAAACAAGCATCACTGCCTAAAGATCTAAATGCAGCTCTAGGACTGCAAACCTAAAAACTGTAGCCACAGTCTTTTTATACTTAGTTTATAACATGGTATATACCCACGCCTCATGAGTTGTTACTAAATTTCATAGTTGTTACTATGTTTTATTGCAAAATAAAACCATATTTGGACAACTACTCAATTTCTCTAGTCATGTTTGAAGCCCCCAGTTTTCCTGGATGTTTTACTGTATCTTATTGCAGTGGAAGCATTCATACCGATCTGCAATGTACGTACATGCTGAAAGGCTTCGAGTGTAAAACGTGACACTGTTCTTGGTTATAAGACCATGCTGTTATTCTGACTGCAGAGCATAAGAGGGAAATTCTGTATTTAAAAAAAGCAGCAACAAATAAATATTTATTGAGAAGCCTGTTTGTAAGAATGGCAGTTGTTTGAAACTTCTGAGAAGTCACCCTGCATCTCTATAAAACAGATTACCAGGTGTGTAAAATGGCACACAGCTGCAGCGTGCACCCTCACTAATGACAACACATCTTCCAGCTCTCTCCAGGATATCACTTGCAAATTTGTCTATGGGATGCATTTACCCTACACAAGTAACATAACACTGCTCCTTCATCCCAAGCAGCATTGGACAGTGTCTGCAAAGCACTGACCTCCATCAACCTTCTCACAGACCAAAGCTGATTCTCCTGTCATTAGGAAAGAAGAGGGAAAGATACTAAGGACATGCTTATAGCACTGGATTCGCAATGGCACCCCAATGTGACCTCAGGTGCTCCCAGGTGTACTCACTGACACACAGCCTGTCACCAGTGTCTGGTTTTGCTCAATTCTTACTTCTCTACTGTTCTTTTATCTTCCCTTCAACTTGTGCTGCCCTTGCTGCCCCTCTCCCTGCTTCCTACTGAACACAGTGTCTTCTGCCTCTTCCATTAAGTCTTTATCTCCAATGTTTCCCCACCCAGCTGAACAATTTTGAGTATTACCATGGTAAGAAAGGGAGAAAAAACACCAGAAGTGACATGGTAAAAAAAACCAAACCAAACCAAAACCGATCACAGATGCACTAGGGTGGGAAATGGGGTGGTCACACCATTCATCCCGGTAGTATCTGTCATCTAAATTAAAACCCTAAGCTTTGTACTAGTGAGATGCTTTTGTTTGGAAACATCCTTTAGGGCACCTTCTTTTTTCCACTGTCTGTACAGGGAGTTCAGCCTCCTAATTTAGACAATAGCAACACAGATCCTCCTCCCTCCCACGCTGAATCCAATAGTAACCACTGCTTTGAGATAGTGCAATAAACAGATACGCTGTGGGGGTTAGAGGATGTACTATTCCTAATGAAAGAAACTAAAGATCCCCTCATGGCCATGATCACCATGTTTGCTGCACCATCTCAAAGAAAGCTATCACCTTGTTTGTGAAAGCTCAGTCAGAGACACTGGCATATCCTTACAAGCATGGACTGAAGTGTCAATTACAGGATAGGAACTTTTGAATTTCTGTATGGGAAGCTTACAGTTGAATGAATGGTGGCACATGAAGTACTCCTTATAAAGCAGAAGGTCAGCTCACACATGCAAACCGACAGCAAGCCAAAAGATACCTCATGTATCTGACTGCATGGAGAAACCAAAAGCAACGAATCAAAGCTTGGCTTAGGCTAGCAAGAGGTAACTGATTCTCTACCACAGTGATTCTGAAAGTTATTTTGCTGACTGAAGAACACTAAAAGTAGAAGTAATCCACAATATTGGATTTTTTTTCCCATGCTTTTGGAGATTTTTAAGATTATATTTCTGATAATTATCTAGGTTATCCAAATTCTTTGCAATGCTGGTTATTAGCTAAAACTCCACTGTGGCAGAAAAACGGCCATATGGCCATAACAGCAATGCCACTCATCTGTTGGCCAGCAAATTCACCATGGCTGTTCCCTGATCCCCCAAAAGCATGCAGTCCTGTAGAGAATAATAAGATTTCTGTGTCTGCAGATTTAAAAGGAACAAAACAGCAGCTGAATACCTTGGTCACATCGTGGTGAAAGTGAAACAAATTCTGTACAAAATCTACCAAGGATCTTGTGACATCCATAAAACTCTCCAGTGAAAACATCCTCAAGCCCCTCCTCATTTTCACAGGTTGAGTACATTACACATTCCTGCAATAAAGCCATTTTTCTCATCAGAAGGCCATTTCAATTATATTGAACCCTTCCCCTCAGATACCATGTTATTTCTCCTTCACCATCTACCAACTTACCCTCCAGCTTACAAAACCGTGTCACCTTCTCCGGCATCAGCTTCCCGTGCTTGTGCTGGCAATACACCTCTGCGATCTCCTGCCGACACTGCTTAGTTTTAGAGCGGGACATGGCTGAGATTGCCTCTTTTCCCGTCACCTCACATTTTGGTGGTTGGTCATATGTCAGTTCAGGGGAGCTGTTTCCTTTTTTTTTTACATGGTGGTGTCTGGAAGATCTGTGAATTGCCTTCAAATTGCTGTTGCTGTTGCTGCTGCTGCTGTTTTTGACCAGGTCATCACTGAACTGCACCACCTCATTCGAGTTCTTCCCCAGCAGCAAGTTCTTCTTCATCTTCTCCTCTTCCAGTTTTTTTCTCAAGTGCTCCTTTTGCTTGCTAAGGGGTTTTTTCACCAGCTCAGACTGGTGTTTTTGCCTCTGAGTCCTGGGAGCAAAGTTACTGTTATCAATATTTTCAAAGTCCTTGGGGACTGAATTTTCATTATTGCTGTCTGTTCGCATTTTCTCTTTCGGTCGGTGGGAAAAATAGCCATCCTATAAATGGGGAGAAAAATTATCTTACTAAATATAAACACATCCCATGCAATACAAGCATTTCTTACATGAAAACATAAATTACAATCTAACATACTGCAAGAAATCCCGAAGTTAGCATCTGTAACAGAAAGATAGAGCCAAGAGGCCTCTGAGCTGTGCAGACCACTACTGCCTGCATCCCTCTATCACCAAGCCAGGATCCAGCCCCCATCCCAGATGGAGCAGGGAGGTTTTACACAGGTTTGTGACCAATTACTAACCAGAGACTTCAATCTGACACTATTAAAAATCAATGGCAAAACCGACACAGATTCCAATGCAGCAAAAGCAGGTCCTACAATGCTTCCCTTCACCCCTTGGGTTCATGACCGCAGTTTGGTATCCCAGAAACTGCCCCAATTCCTCCACAGAAAGCATCACATGACTTTATAGCCTGAGCTTTCTTTCAGTAAAGTAACTGCTACAAACCAAGTTTAGAGTTTCTACATAATAAAACTCTGGAGAAGTGTTTCCCAGGAATTGCACTGCAGCCTTGCCATAAGCGGGAAGCTGTGGCAGCAACCAGCCCCATGTGAGAGGATGAGCAGCTACAGACACCCAGGCTTCATGGAGCGTCAGAGCCAGGCCCATATGTCAGCATTTGGCAAGTACACAGACCATAACATTGCAACACTTCAAAAGTATCATATAAAGGAAAAGGAATAGACGTAAAACATTTTTCTGATGCAGAATAATGCTTTGCTTCACCATTTCATCCCTGCCTCCACCTATTATCATGGGAACTGGTCCTATCCCAGCAGCAGCAGAGCAAGTTTACAACACCAAAGAAAAAGGAAGATTATCTCAGGCATCCTAAGGACAACAGGGAACATATCAATCTGCTTTAGAAAAGATGTGTCAGACTAGAACAAAACTGAAAGGCACTTATACGTGTATAGTATTATCAAATGGGAGCCTGTTTGATAGCAAGGGGTGGGTAAGGCAGAGCTATCTTTGCTCCAACCACACAAACCAGCCCTCAGGCTAGTGGGGACACAATTTTTAGACTCATGGAAAAGGAAGTACCTCCATTTATTAAAGTGATCAGTAGCAGATTAAATCAATGGGGAATTGTTACTAAAACATCTGAAGACAACAGTATAAATACTGATAGACTTTTTGAATCTGTCCTGTTTTCTTTCCACTTGTGAAAGGCCTAACCAAAAATCAGAGGCTGGTAAAGGACAGCATCTGCTAAGGATGATTGATGGGAGCCACTCCTATGAACCACCATTTGTATTCAAAACATTTTACCAGCATAAGCTGATTATGTCTCACACGTCTTCTGGGAGGAACTATTAAACAGAAGAAGGAGAGGGAGATAATGGCTTATCCAAGGCCATGCAAGGAGTAGGTCTCACTTTGACCTCTGCAGCTCAGCAGTGAGATTCATTAGAAGATGTGGCTCTTCGAGCAACTGAAGTGATTCTCTCCATGAGTATCTCCAGCTCACAAGTAGCTTTAGCTGCCAGACATGGAGGCATGCAGAGCTGTTCTAAACAAAGACAAACAACGCACAAAACAAAACCCAAATGTTTTCAATCAAAATATGTTTGGGGAGAACATATCTATCTAATTTTTAAGGCTACACATGAAATAATTTTTTTTCTGTTCTTTTTTTTTTTTTTAAGGAGCACAAACAATAGAATTTTTTTATAGAATCACAAAATTGTTTAGATTGGAAAAGACCTTTAAGGTCATCAAGTTCAACCGTTAACCCAGCACTGCCAAGTCCACCACTAAACCATGTCCCTAAGTGCCACAGTTGCACACCTTCTAAATACCTCCAGGGATGGTGACCCCACCACCTCCCTGGGCAGCCTGTTGACAATCTTTCCAGTGAAGAAATTTTTCATAATAACCAATCTAAACCTCCACAGCACAATCTGAGGGCATTTCCTCTTGTCCTATAACTCGTCACCTGGGAGAAGTGACAGATACCCCTCTCTCTCCATCCTCCTTTTCAGGTAGTTGTAGAAAGCAATCAGGTCTCCCCCAAGCCTTTTTCTCCAGGCTAAAAAAAAAAACCAGTTCCCTCAGCCACTCCTTGTAACACTTGTGCTCTAGACCCTTCATCAGCTTCAGTGCTTTTCTTTGGACACCAAAGAGAAAACAAAAAATAGTTTCAAGACAGCTCTCATTCCCATGAATGATGAAACAAAAACCCCCAAACCAATTCTTGTCAGAGCCCAGCTCCCTTCACTTAGTCTGTATCTCCAATGTATCTTCAAAAAAGGAGTGCTCCAAACCCAGCAGCAAACTGCAAATAAAGCAAGACAAATGCAAAACTTACAAACATCATACCCAAAACATCTCCATTGCCGTGCCACTGCTCTGAGACTTCAGATGTTGACAGCTGTCATATTCCCTTTGTTGTTCAGCCAACTCCAAAACCTCAGCTTAGTGATGCCACCTGTATATTTTCCCTTGCTTTATTTCATTGCTAATACAGTTTAAAGCACTTCTTATTAGTAACAGGAGTGTTCCACCATGCTGTAACTTAGAGCCAAAATACCTAGCCGCAACGATGGGGAAAAAAGATAATTGTCTTCTTCATTGAACTCTTTCCAGGGTCTCTAAAGGCGATGCTGCAATAGGATATTTCTGTGTATCCTGGCAACATTCCCTCCCACAGCCTGACTGTTGCTACATTATTTTTGTCTTTAAACTAAAAAATTTTAATCGTAATCTGAACAGCATATGGCACATTGATGAAGGGGCAGGAAGGGAGAGGACATTTCGCTGTTGGGGGCTTTTTGTCACAATTCTTACTACCCACAAACGAGACATTGGCTGGAACCAGAGTGACAGGCACACAGAGTGCACGGCCCTGCCCCATGCTCTCCCCTCCTGCCCCACCCAAACCTCTCAAAGGTGGCAGCATGAGATCCAGGCCTCTTCGTTTCAAATGACATCTGACATGACACTTATGTGATGTTTCAGCTGGGACCTTCACTCTCCATATTAGCTTCCCTGCGCCCATGAGGGTCTGATCAGGCTACACAGCAACCACAGGACCAGAGGAGCAGCTACGGGTGTTTAAGCAGAGCATTCCTGATGACCTGCAGAGCTGTGATGAAACCTCAGGAGGAAAATGCAAAGTAAACACCAGATTTACTGGTGTATGGTTCACCTCTTTAAACTGTTTTCCTCCTTCAAGAGCTTTGCCCCCCTCTGGGAAATGCATTTCCAAGTCTACATGCTGGAATCTGAACAGACAAATGAATTTTAAATGGTTCAAAGGCAGACACAAAACTGAGTTTGGCTGTAACTCTTCCCTGCCCGCAGGGACAGCGAACACGACAGAGGACAGCCAGCGTCTGCAGAGACTTCTCTTTGGGAGGAGCAAGGACTAGAAGTAAAGCACAGTTGTAGAACAACTGTACCAAACAAGAGCTACAGATATACACTACAAAACAATGACACGTAACAGATACCACATCTGGACAGTCAAACCCAGCCTCACGCCATCCCATACCTGTTGATGAAGGTGTTAAATACCACCAAACCAGAAATCTCCATACACCTTTAATCTGCATTTCTCTCTCACAGTAACTTTCCCCAAAGACAAATGAGATTGATAAAGCACAACGATTTCAAGTGAGGATCCATACGTGACAGGAGAACACACACGGCTGCAGTGCAGGGGAAATGAAGCTCAGCACTCTGAGCTTAAAACAGCAGCAGCTGCTGACAATAAATTGTGCTCACTTGTGAAGTTCAGGGGTACAAACAAAAGCAGCACATCTGTTTTTCAGCTGGCTGCAGGAGGATGGGATTTACTCGCGCTGCAATATTTCATTTTTACAGTGCTGGATTAACTGCAGACTATTTGCCACAGATATCTAAGACATGCATGCCAGGACAAAGTCATCCTATAGAAAGATGGTCTTGAAACCAGCATTCCTGGTTCTGACAGAACCAGCTGGTTCACTGTTTCAATCGTCATCTTCTCCACCTCTTGTCTAGCTATCGGTTAGTAACACCTCCTTATCTCTCTTCATGCTTGAAAATCACACTAAACACACTGAAAAAAATGGAAGGCTATACTGGGACCAAATTAGAAGCAGAGAGCCTATTAATATAGCCTGTATGTATCCACAGTCTAAGATGAAAGCTGTATTTTCAAACCCACACCTAACACTGCCGTGTAGGTTTAATGTCGTCCACAGAAGGCACAAGAAAGTTGTTATGGAAAAGACCATTTTGGTCTTTGCAACAGAGTAATTCTCCCTAGAACAGACACTGATCAGAAGAGGCTCTGTCCAAAGACAATTCATTTGAGAGGCTACCCCATCGAAGTTACTATTACAGGTGTCAAACTCAACACATGCCACCCAAGAGCATGTATTTCTGTTGTTTCCAGTACAGCCCTGGGAAAACATTCCCTTTCTGCATCATTCCACACATGACTCTGCAGCAACCCCAGAGTGACACTGGTCTCCCTTTGGGGACTAATAGCAAAAATTGTGCAGCCAGGGAAGTCATGTCTGTAGCCCAGTACTGACCTACTGCTCCCAACACCAATGACAGTCATTCCACTCTCACAGAGAAGCACAGGATCGGGTCAAAGTAATTTTTTTCCCACATTTGGAAAGCCAACACAGTTCACAGTCATTATAAAGGAACCCTCAGAGGGTTTTCAACACCTGTAGCACTGCATTTTAAAGATCAAGTATGACACTGTGGCCGTTTATCACGGAACACAGGCCTAAGAAGGATTTCCACAAACAGAAATTTTCTATCCTAACTCCACCTCATGGAGAGGTTAACTGCTGAGTACTCAATGGCGAGAGCCCTGGCAAGGAGAGTTTTAATGACTGTGAGGTCTCTTCCGCATGTGAACACGCTGTAATTTAGCAACAACAAGCACATACTTTCAAACTGGGAAGGAACAGTCTGTACCCAGGAGCGTGCATGAGATCATTGGCAATTACATACTGATGGTCATTGATGCT